ACTGTGGAGACAACACGGATGAGAAGGACTGCGGTGAGTGGGGCTGCCCGTGGGCACCGCTCTGCGACCGGCGTGGACAGGGCAGTGGGTCGCCGCTGCCCTTGGGCTGGTCCTCGCAGAGCCCTGGGTTTAGCCCAGGTGTGGGGTTTGCTTTGCCCACTCCTGCCCAAAACGGGGATGTGGGCGCAGGCGTCCTGGGTCCCTGCCTGGTCCCACCCTGTGGCTCCTTTTTTTCACAGAGCGTCACAGCCGCTGCCCCGTGCTCCCGCAGAGTCACCCACGGCCAAGCCCAAGAGCTGCAGCCAGGACAAGAACGAGTTCCTGTGCGAGAACAAGAAGTGCATCAGCGCCAACCTCCGCTGCAACTTCTTTGATGACTGTGGAGATGGCTCTGATGAGGAGTCCTGCTCCCACGGTGGGTGGGGAGCTGGGGGGGCTGAGGGTGGACACTGGGGAAGCCGCGAAGGCACAGGAGCTGATGGCGCGTCCCACCCCAGACCACAAGTCGTACGACTGCATGACCAACACCACCATGTGTGGAGACGAGGCCCAGTGCGTTCAGTCGCGGTCCACCACATACTGCATGTGCCGCAGAGGCTTCCAGAAGATGCTAGACAAGAATTCCTGCCAAGGTACTTCCCGCCGCTGCCAGAGAGGGCTGGGGGTTGGGCTGTCGGGTTTATGGTTGGTTTTTGCCAGTAAGATGTGTCTTCACACCTGTGGAGTGGCTGGCGCATCAGAAATGGTGTCCTTGGGGCACAAACATGGGGAATGGGGAGAAACAGGGTCTCTGAGCCCTAAGTAGCGCAGACCAGACCCCAGAGAGGGGCCAGCCCTGGCCATGTGCGTGGGGGCACCCTCCTGGTCTCCCCGCTGACTCCTGTCTCCCGCTGCCCAGACATCAACGAGTGCCTGCGCTTTGGGACCTGCTCCCAGCTCTGCAACAACACCAAGGGCTCCCACGTCTGCAGCTGCGCCAAGAACTTCATGAAGTCGGACAACATGTGCAAGGCAGAAGGTCAGGAGGGAACGGGGGCATGCACAGATCCTGTGCGTGCCCGTGCCGCCCTGCAGGACCCAGCTGCTCTTCCCTCCTGCTCCTCCTCCTCCCCCGGCACCTCTGCCCGCCCTTCTTTCTGGCACTGCCGAGGGCGGGTGCCGGGCTCTGCCGGTGCCATCAGTCTGTCCTTCCCTGGCAGAGCAAGCCCCGAGGGGGTGCCAAGCTCCTAGCGACCCCGTCCCCTGCCCCACCGTGGAGCTGGGCTGACCCCCCGGCCCAGCCCACACCAACCGTTCCTCCTCTGCAGGCTCCGAGCACCAAATCCTCTACATCGCGGATGACAACAAGATCCGGAGCATGTACCCCTTCAACCCCAACTCGGCCTACGAGCCGGCCTTCCAGGGCGACGAGAACGTGCGCATTGACGCCATGGACATCTACGTCAAGGGCAACAAGATCTATTGGACCAACTGGCACACAGGCAGGATCTCGTACCGGGAGCTGCCTGCCTCTTCCGCTGCCTCCACTGCCTCCAACCGCAACCGGCGCCAGATCGACGGTGGCGTCACCCACCTGAATGTGAGCTCTGTCGTGAGCACGGCAGGAGGCACCGAGGCCGGGCTGCCAGCGTCCTCTGCCCTCACCTCTCCCCCGTTTCTGCCCTTCCCAGATCTCAGGGCTGAAGATGCCGCGGGGAATTGCCATCGACTGGGTGGCTGGGAACATCTACTGGACAGACTCAGGGCGGGATGTCATCGAAGTGGCACAGATGAAAGGCGAGAATCGCAAGACGCTGATCTCGGGCATGATTGATGAGCCCCATGCCATCGTAGTCGACCCGCTTAGGGGGTGAGAGCCCTTTCTCCCTTCCCTCTGCCCAGCCCTCACCCCGGCTCCTCTCAACAAGCCCATCCGTGGTGGAAGCTCCCTGTGCCCCAGCATCACGCTCCATGTCAGCTCGAGTTGCTGTGCCTTGGAGTTAGCTGGCCCGTTGGGGTCACGTCAGGGACTCTAGAAGGCTGTGGGGAGAACGCGGGGGGTTTCTCCTCTGATGGGGCGTCGGTCTGTCCTGCTCTTCCCCTCCTTGCTCCCCTGCCGGGAATGACCTGCCCGTGTCCTTCGCAGGACTATGTACTGGTCAGACTGGGGCAATCACCCCAA